TTGAAAACGGTTAGCTCAGTTTTGAAAGGAGTATAGAGTGAAAAACCTTGTATTTTATATTATTTTGTATGTATTTATATTATACATATTTGTATTTATATTCCTTCCAAATTGAGCTTTAATGTATTCATCTCTCCCTCTCATTTGATAGTAATCTCTCCGTTAACCTATGCATTCCAACTTATTTTTGACATTGATGGTAATTTTACCATATTTCACTAGAGTTTCTTATTTCTTATGTTTTGATTCTCTTTTTCTATTCTTTTTAGGCTGTGTTTGGTTGCAGTGCAATTTTATTTGCAATAGTACAAATGCAAATGAAAAAAACTACAAATTCTTATTTAATTTTGTTTTGGGTTTTATTTTATTCTATTTCATGTCTTAATTTACTTCATTTATAATGCATTCAAACAAAATAACCTAAAATTTGAAACAAAAATAAATTAAAATTTACACTCAAATTATTTGCACTGTCACAGTTTTGCATCAGTGCAAATTTATTTGCATTGCAACCAAACACAGCCTTAGGGATGCAATTCTTTCATGCAGGGAACAAAATGAACACTACTTAAATGGTCTGTTTGCTTTATTTTGCAGATAGTGCCATACTGGCCGGGCATTGTTTATTGAATTGTAATGCAAAAAAATGATGTTTATAGCTTAGACAAGCCTATGATCGCAAGCATTTGATTATTTTTTTAAGACCCCAAAATTTATTTAGGAAGGAGCGACCACCTTTAATTAATTAATAATTTTATTAATTATCCATTATCAAAAGAGAGAAAAATTAACATAAATAAGGATGTAAATCACCTTTCATTTGATTATAAAACTGAGGATCCGCTTGATTTGCAGGAATAGGGGTCTGAAATCAGAATCAGAATGGGTTATTTCGATTCTAACTGTTTGGTTGGGCAGAATCAGAATTCCATTCCCAATCCTGCTGGAATAGCATTCCCCCATTTGAGGGAATGACCATTCCCTACCCCTCCCTTGGGAATAGAATCCCATTCATGCTGATTTTAATTTTCATTCCTATTCCTGTCTGAATCAAACAGACTATAGGAATGAATTATTCCTATTTAGATTCTGGAAGACTTCAATTCCAATTCCAATTCCAATTCCGACTACAAAGCAAACGGACCCTGAGTTATTTACAAAAAACTCATTAGACATATTAATGAACTAGAGTTGCAGTTACTACTTACAGTCAATCCGGAATTGACCATCATTATTGTGACTTGAATCTACGTGAGGGAAAGTTGGTGTATTTCTGACATAAATAAAATGCTATTTGGCAGCAATAAGGGGGACTGGGGGCCCAAATTTTGCATCTCTCTTTTATATTTCTGCCCATCTTTAAATTTTTTGTCAGTTCAGACACTTGATCATGTGGATTTTCTTTTTTTTGTTGTTTTTGAGATTTTGGAATTTTGGACATATATTTAATCAATTTATTAATATTTTATTTTATTTTTATATTTATGTTATTTATTCCTATTATTTTAGTGTTATATCCAAAACTCAGACATGAAATATGAAAATTTCAGAGAAAATAAATGCAACCGACATTTTTCAGATTTTCATGTTGGTGACTGTATTTAAAACAACCGACATTTAAAACCATGATGTCTACTAACTGCCTTACATAATTCCCCCACAAATCTAAATAAGTGTACATTTACAAGGTGGTTTAGAGCCAGGCCCATAATACTCATGGTTAAAAGCAGAGGGCCCACATAACTTGCCACGTATTACAAATTCAGATAAGCTCTTTGGGATCAACTACTTGATAGGTCCAACTTAAGAAAATTGCTATATTAAATCCAACATGATTCTTTCAATCTCTAATAAGCTGACTTGTAGATATGATGTGTTTCAATATATATAATGGGACATGTGCGTCTTAAGAAGAATGCCATTACAACCCCATAATTAACACATATATTTATGATTTATGTGCACCATCCCAAGTGGAGATTTTGGGGATTCACCTTCAAAAACCTAATATATAATTTCTAATGGTGGACAACTTTTATGGCCAATATCACATGTGAATAGAACCATGCTATAAGTTTTTTAATTCATGTATAATGTATGTGATATGTTGAAGAGGATATCTTTTTTTTTTTTTTTATAAGTAAAGTAAGTGCATCCGGACTTATGTGAATTGTGATTGGTGGATACCACTTCTGAAAAGGAAATTCTACAAAGCAGTTGTAAGGATAGCTATGATATTTAGAGTGGAGTATATGACAAATAAGAAATAGCATGTTCAAAGAATGAATATAACAAAATGCAAATGCTCAAATGGATGAAGGTAAAACTAAGAAGGGCAGGGTTGGAAATGAAGTTATAAGAAGGAACCCATGAATAAATCCAATAGGTGATAAAATGAGAGAATAGATTGAGATTGTTTAGATCTTTTGGTTATGTGCATAGAAGACTATCCACAACACCTCTTATAAAAAGTGATCTATTATAAGTTGAAAGGGCTAAAAAAGCTAGGGTCACACTGAAAAGAACTTGAGTGAAAGTAATAAGAAATTATTTAACAATAAATATGACATTGAACAGAATCTAATAGCAAAACAGGATTCATTTTGCCAACCCCCTATAGTTGGAACAAGGCTTAGAAGATGAAGATGAAGATGTATATAATGCATATGATCCTTTTGCTAGTATAGTATGTAATATGGTCGTTTATGAATATTCTGATCAAGTCAAATATTTGGGGAAATTAGGCCTCTCTCTCTCTCTCTCTCTTTCTCCAAGTATATATATATATATATCTGTGTGTGTGTGGATCCTTAGAGAGTATATTAAATGGCATTTTGCATCCATTTATAGCAAATTGGAGTTTTATTACCTTTAAACACATATAGCTATATATGTTTAGTATGTTTGGGGTTTATTAATGCAAAATTTTGAGAAATTGTCTTCTTACATCACATAAGAAAGCCACTTCCACTACTAATAAAAATAGGGAGAATGATTGGCCCAGGTCAGAATTTTTAGGCCCAAAGTACAGTTGGGGTGAGTGCCAACAGGGATTTTTGACATTTTGAATGTTTATAGCTCTGCAGTTAAATTTAGAAATTTGCATCCAGTCTGTTCTTACTTTTCCAAAAAACAATATATGAATAGGATCCATTGATCAATAGGCATTTATGATACCAAACATTGCATTGATCAACTCAAAACATGCGGGGTAGAAAAAATGTCCTCTCACAAATTTGCTTACTCTTATGGATGAACTCCTGTTTACGATAATTAGCAGAATAATAATCCCCATCCTTAATATGAACTCCTGTATATAGCATATGAAACTTTATAATCCCCATCATTAAAATTAGTGAGACTCCGATACCAAGGTGGGTTTGGTAACAAGACTCAACTCACCCTAGACAGTGGAGCTCTGCTAACTATCTTTCTTCTCTCTCTAATGGCCAATGAAGACAGCAAATCTCACCTGGGGTTTTGCATCGACATCAGACCCACCAAGGAAAGGATACAAGAATAAATTTGTCGAGTTTAACAGTGCAGGTAAGAGATGGGGTTTCAATTAAGGTCTATTCTAACAAAATTGAGAGTCTAAAAATGATGTAGAACCAACAGCAAACCAGCCATTAGATAAAACATAGGGAAAATGACCAATCAGCCCATATCAGAATTTTATAGCTCCAAAGTACATGGGAATGCATCTTGATCTAATGGTTTCATTCCATTGATGAAAAGGTGCTAAGTACATCTTGGGGCCATCATTTGGGGCCAGACCATAACGTCTAGTCTAGGCCACTGAAAAGTGAAAACCCCATAAGATTACAGGTTCCAATGCATCTACACTCCCGGATTGGATGGAGGTCATTTCAGCACTCACTCATGCTTTCGGGTGATGAGAATCACTGTAGTGTCAAATTTTCGCTGCACCTCTGCATCAACCAGCAGTGCAGGGTGTGGTGTGAAAGAATTACCCATCATCAAGATATTGAATTTCCACCATTTGTACCTCTCTCTGCATTCCATTGATAATGATACATTGTAACGTGTTTAGGAGGGTGTTTGGTTAGGCGTTTTTTGATTGTTATGTTGATGTTAGTGCTTAGTAGTGTCTAATTGTTATAAACGATTATAATTATTATCTTTTTTATTTTATAAACAAATAAAATATAAATGTTGAATGAAATAAACAAAACCAAATACATACTATGTCGTGGATACAACACCATCATCCAATAAGGAGGAAAAGAGAAAAAAGAAATGAAAGTTCCATCCAGCTTAACTACAAGAAGGCAAAGAAAGAAGGAAGATTACATTAGTAAGTAGTTCAGTACCTGTTTCTCAAATGATATATATAGAGAGAGAGAGAGTGAGTGAAGGACCCATCTTAGCTCATACGTTGAATTGTGCCTTCATGCCAGAGAGGAGCAACGAACCAAACAGAAAAATAAGGTATGTAGGCGCGTGATTTGATAAGATTCTTACAAAGATTAAAGAAGGGAGAGATGGTTTCTCTTTGCCAAATTATAAAGCCACAAAGGATAAATCATAGACATGAAATGTGAAAAAGGTAAGGAAGAAAAGGAGAGATTTGATTAAGAGGAGAAGAATATATTCTTCAAAACAAATATATAGGAAGGAAAGATGATATACCCCTCAGCCCCAGATGTTACGGCACTTTGGATTTTCGAAAGAAGAAAAATTATATAAAAAGAACTAAGCACTCGAACAAAGACTAGAGTCAGATATATTTCATAAATCAGTAATATTGAATCCAATAGCAACAGAGTAGGAAAATCGAAAGAGACAAAAACAGAAGTAAAACCAAAAGAGGAATTAAAAGATTGGAATTGAAAAAAAAAAGTGAAGCGATGAGGTGGCGACGGGTGTATGGCAGATAATGGGCGAAAACAAAAAGACAGAAGTAGTAGGATATATGGCAACTGGCACCAATATGTGTAGGGGTCCTTGCATAGTGTCAACATCTCATAAATAACGCATTTCATGTCTGAAAGACGAGGTGGGAGTGGGAGGGGTAGAAGAGGTGAGAATCTGTGAGGGAATAGAGCTCGAACCCAGAGAGAAATAGAGATGTTTCGTAGGTAGAAAGCAGCAAGGTCTAGGTTTACTGTTTTCTGTTACAACATTAAATTCATCGAATCCCTTTCCAGCTTTGAGTTTTTATATCTTGAATTCAAGGGGAAGCGTGAAAGGGGTGGTGTGTAAGAATTAAGATCTGCTGTTCAAGTTAAATAAGAGAAGCAAGACCAGAGAGAGAGAGAGAGAGAGAGAGCAAACAAAAATGGATGTGGGTCAGTTGCAGAGAAGGTTGGTTGACTACACAGCGTCCTTATTTCGTGAGGTGAGTGTAATAAATAATAAATAATAACGAGAAAAGAAACGGATTTGCAGATGGGTTTGTCTGTTTGGGTTTAAATTTTTGTTTCACTTTTGCTTGTTGAGAGGTTTTGATGATGGGTTGTTGTTGGTGAGAAGGGATTTCTTGATGATCAATTCACCCAGCTTCAGCAACTGCAAGACGAGAGCAACCCTGATTTCGTTTTTGAAGTCGTCTCTCTCTTCTTTGACGATTCTGAGAAGCTTCTCAATGATTTGACCATAGCTCTGTGAGTATTCAAACTTCTTTATCTTCCCCATCTTGTCTCTTTTTGTTTTTCTTCAATTTTTTTCATGGTTCTCACCTTTGGGGCTACGGTTAACAGTCTAACTTATACTCTTGGGTTGTATTTTTTTTTTTCACAGAGAACAGCCGGGTGTAGATCTCAAGAGGGTCGATGCCCATGTTCACCAGTTGAAGGGTAGCAGCTCTAGGTATTCATTGTTCAGAGATTTTCCTTCTTCTTCTTCTTCTTGTTTACTTGTTGGCTGTATAGGGGTCTAAGAGAACCTGGTATTTTCTTTGCTTTGCTTACTTCCCCTTTCCTTTTTTCTCCTTTTTTTCTGTGTTTGATAACCACTTAAATCAAAATACATGGATCCCTCATCCTCATATAACAATAACCATTTTAAGTTTCTGTGATTTTGGAGAAAATTCTCAAACCCTGTTTTGATAACGTATTTTTGAAAGTTAATCCAGATCTGGGATGCAGCACACCAAAATTAAAGTTTGGATCTTGTTTGCCTCTGTGATTAGTTTTTTTTTTTTTTTTTTTTTTTTTAATGAGAAGAGTTGGTTTCTCTGAATAACAGCATAGGTGCACAGAGAGTCAAAAATGTGTGCATTGCCTTTCGAAACTTTTGTGAGGAACAGAATATTGAAGGGTGAGTCTTTGCTTCCCAACAACAGACTCCTTTCTCTTGTTAATCAATCCAAAAGTCACTCTTTGGATTTTAGAACTATGAAGTCCTCTTCGTCTTTCTTCTGATCAAAGGGAAGAATCTGGTTTAGGTGTGTGAGATGCCTGCAACAAGTGAAACATGAATATGCTCTTGTGAAGAACAAGCTTGAAACTCTATTCAGGGTGAGTTTAGGATATGACTCTCTCTCTCTCTCTCTCTCTCTCTCTCTCAATCTGCAGAAGTCTTACTTTTCCTCTCATTTACTGTAGCTTGAGCAACAGGTCTTGGCAGCTGGTGGGTCAGTTACGATGATGGAATGAGTAATGGCAACCGGCAAGGCCAATGGATGGTGGATGGTAGTGAGAAGCTTTGTACGTTTTTTTTGTTTTTTTGGTAGTTGGAGAATGCAAGCTACTTCATCAGTTACTGAAGTTCTCCTTTTTAGCTGTTTTAAGCTGTTGGTTGTATGGGTTGGGATTGCTAAGCATGAGTCGTGTGACTCATGAACAAGGAGAGAATATGAATAAGACATTCTGTCTCTTTTGCCATCAGAATTCAGGCTCACGGCCGACTACTCTCATCATTTCCAAGCTAAAATCTTTACTGAATTTTCTGTTGCTCAAAATGGTCTACTTAGTTGATCTGCCCTGATTCACACTGTGTCATCGGTTATGGATGGAACTTGGGGGCATAATCAAGCATTCTGGGTTCAATTTCCAGCTTACCAAAAAGCAAACAAACAATTAGCAAGGGATGAAGAACAAAATCTAAGGTCCTTGTCTGGTGGATGTAGATGTGATAGATTTTAAGTGACTGGTCGGTTGGCAATTGGTCCATTTTCCAAGCATGTTATCTTCTGTCTTAGCTCATTGAAAGGTTATAGGTTCAGAGTCCAATCAATTCACGGAACCAAATTTGTCATTTATATGTGTATATTCATTCAGAGATGTGATTAATGATTCCATGAGGCCACCCCACTTTGTGGAATGCATTTGAGTTTGAGATCACCTGATACAAATTCAGTGAGCACAACTCCGGTACCTGTCAGATGCAGATATGGGATCTTTAATAAATTAATTAAAATCTAGTCTAACCACTGCTAATCTTAAAGCGATTTTGTTTGGGTCAATGTTTCGGAATTTGGAGTGAAGGAAGTTTTACTATATTTCGCATTCTAATCTTAAGAGAACATGGTCATAGCCTCATAGGTGGTTTGTATTAATTAATTAAACGGGCCACCGTCCATTCAGGAATCAAATCGACATCTTACTGACAATTTGATAGTTAATCTCTTTGTATATTGAGAAATGGAGACCAATCAAACAGAGGAGGGTTCTTTGGAAACTGCCCCATTTTGTATTTTTAATCACCCAATGAAGATCTTTCCCTGAACCCAAGTGCCCAACCCAACCCATAATACAGATCTGTTTGGCAATGTCAACTCTCTGAGTCGTTGTGGGCCTTAGCCTCTAGCTCTGCCATTAATTGTGAAAATTAGATTTATGGTACCAGCCCACAGAGCTGTACGCAGTATCTCTTCTATATTTCTTTTTTGTAATGTAAGTTTGAAGCTATCCAGTGCCAATCGGCTGTCATCTGAGTTTCTGCTTAAGATACTGTTTCATTGAATTACTGGGTTGGAGGGGTTGACCTCATTTTGGTTAATTTGATGTAGTTTGAAAGCAACGCAAGAGCTGGAACAGAATTGCAGAGTGCAGACAATGAAAGGCTACGTATATAAAAACGAAAGGTTCCTCAAACGAGAAGATTTACCAAATAATATCGAGTACGTCCAATCTGCATACATGGGACTAGAAATTCTTTAGAGTTATTGCTACACTTGATGCTAAGATCACCTTCTTATTCAACCCTGAGATCTTATATGAGAATCCAGGAAATTGTTCTCCTTGGGGGCCACTATTCCACAGCCTCCGGCTCTGTTTTTTTTTTTTGGTAAATCTATCTATGGAACATAATATGTAAAAATAACAACCTTATAGCAGCCTCCGATCTCATGTTATGATCCCTTTTCTGTTGGAAAAAGAACTAATTTCTTAGAGATTTAACAGGTGTAAATAATTGATTTGTTTTTGTTTTAGTAAAAAGGGGGCATTCTTTTTTCCAATTTTGAGAGGGGGAAAGTTGGTCAGGGATTTTGATTCCCATTGACCAAGAAAGCCCATGTTCATTTTTCAGATTTATGTGGGGAGTATGGAAAGTTTATTTTCATAGGTATCAATATCACTTGCTCGGGGTATGTGATACCTATCTCCTAAGTGGGACGAAAGTTGCCAACACTTGAATGGAATAAAAATGTCCCTTTTAATAATGGACTTTTATAGCTAAAACAGTCATTGCCGGATCTACTTGGGAAATAAAAGAACATGAATAAGTGCATGGTGGCTTTTGAAGGCTAATAACCTTCCAATTGCACACAATACTTTGACCTTGGTTTGGGGGTGGCACTTCCCCATAAATGGGGTCTATGTGCATTTATGAGTAAAGTTGTTTTGAATGTTGTTTATTTTTTAAGGGCTTGATTATGATACAGAAAGACATGATACTCGACAAACTTACATCCAATCGATGGGTATCATAAAAGAGGTGACCAATGAGGTGGTGTTCATTTGATTGGTCGACAAACTTACATCCAATCGAT